AGAATGAATAAGTACTTCATGATCTGTAAACAAAGGAACTTGCTAGTTCTGTCTCAGCATCTCAAATGAGTTATTAAGGAACAGCAGTAAAGGAAAACAGAAATCTGCCTTCCAGCTGGTGTGTTAGAGTTGGTAACGTCAATACTTTCTAGAACAATACATTTCTATCCCTAGAAAGTGCATATAAGCTTACATATTACATAAACACACTTATTTAAATGGCACTTTTTCAGGAAATACTGCTTTTGGATAGATTTTAAAATCTTTTTGGCATAAGCAAAAAGTGGGTATCCATAAATTCCTTCTTTGCATTTAGACTCCATTTCTTCTGCTTGTGACTAAGAGCCTCAGACACCCTGAGGAAAAAAGGTTCTCCTTGTTTAGCAAGAAAAAGCAGTCTGGAACAGGGTTTTCAGACTTCTATTACAGCTGCAGAATAAAGATGAGAAATCAGTGTTCCAAGTAAGTGCTACAGAGGAGTAGACTCTGTAATACATTATATGCTAAAAGAAGAGAAAATGTCAGGAAAAGCCAGTAAGGTTAAGCATATTTCTTTTTTTTGCTTTTCAGCAGAGAATCTTACTTCCTGTGCTGCATTATACTGAGCAACTCTGATATGCGCAGACAATGCAGAATGTCAACTTAGATCCCCCCCCCTTATTGTTTATACATTGGATTTTTTTGTTCCAGTTTTCTTATAGACCGCTGTAGGCTACATGTCTTCCTGAGGATTAAGTGTGCTGTTGTGATTTTCAAGTGTGAAGAAAATCTAACTGAATTTTGCATTTTTATTGAAAATACGAAAAAAATCGTTACGTTACTGTCCTCTGGGAAATAAGCTGCAGCATTTGAATAGTGCATAGAATTATATCTAAGATTGCAAGTGTGTGTGTGGGAGGAATGGCATAGCTATGCTTTACAAAAATGACTTCATTTGAGAGTATTTTGTATTGCTTTTTTATATTTGAACTACCACACTGCTATTTGCTTTTGGCTGAGGTTATTAGCTGTAGAAATGAGGATTTTTACCAGTTCATCATAATATGCATCTGACTGTCCAGTTTCCCGGTTTCTATGTTATTTAACCCTTGTGTGTATTTGCACTTGCCAATGCATTTTTGTGTTGTAAAGAAAAATATATCTGTTGATACTGCATATGGCTTTATGCCAGGAAAAAAAAAAAAAAGAGTATTTACTCCTTTTATTTAATGCAGGAAGACAAGTAGTCCTTAGCTTTTCACTCAGAATTTGGAAGTGTCTAGATGATGTTATGAAGAAATCGTACTGGTTTTGTCTCTACATAAATAATCCATTAAATGCTGTCTGATGTTTGGGAGGAAAAATATTTAGAGATTGAAAACTGTAGATTTTCTAAAAATAATACAAGCAGGGATGTGAAAGAAGGATTAAGTGACTTAAACCCCCACGTTTTTTAAAACATTCTGGAATAATAAATTCAGTGTTGACCACTTCGTCATCATTGTAGTGTTTTGCAGCTGACTTCTGGTTTTAATATATTTTTACAGATTAATGTATTTTGGTGATTCCTACCACCTTATTTTTCGATAATTTAAAATTTGAGGGGTAGTAGCTTTTATCTGATGGTTTTTTCTTTGCCTGTGTGTGTCTTATTTTTATTTAATGAGAATTAAAAGGATGGTTGGAAAAAATAACCGAGCAATGAGTGCAGTTTCTATGTCAAAGCAGCTTGATCACAGAGTCACAGTCTAGCTGAGGTTGGAAGGGACCTCCGCAGATCATGTGGTCCCCTTCCCCTGCTCAGCAGCGCCACCTAAAGCCAGTTACCCAAGACTCTCTGTTGTTGGTTTTAGGGTTTTGTGTATTTATTTGGTTTGATCCTTAAAAGGAACACTGGAGTTGCTTCTCTGGATTTGGTGCGTTTACCCTGTACCATTTGTCCCTTCTTACTTCCACTGGTCAACTTTTCCTTTTTGCTTCTTTGAAGGTGGTGAAAGAGGACTTTTAAAGCTGTCGTATATAAAAGTTAATATCTCACCTTTTATTTGCAGAGTACCTATAATGTTATTATCTTTCTCAAATTAAGGCGAAAGACCCTAGATGTGTTTGGAACTTAAATGGTATGGTTCTGTGGTGTTCTATTACACAGTAATGTGTGAACTGTTTTGAAGAAACCCCTTCCATGAGATTGCTGTCTGCATTAGCCTGTTGGATGGGAGATCCCATTATTTTCAGATTAATATATGTTATTACAGTCACCTGAAGAATGCTGCTTCATTTCTGATGTTTTTCCCCCAATATATTGCTGTGTTTTCTGTTCACATCTCACATTTGGAAATTCCAACTGTCCTGTCCCATTTTTTTCTGTTGCTCTTGGATTTGAAGCTGAGCCATATGTCTTAGTTCGTCTCCTAAGGAAATGTAACTTACATGGTTGCACTGCCTGAGAATCTTAGTCATGTTTGAACCTATTGACAGATTACAAACAAGGTTGAGAGGTGATAGTTTCAGGGTGCCATATATTTTATGAAAACCTGTGGCCCACTTACAGGCAAGTGACAATTCAATCTCTTAAATAGGAAAGGCTGAAATACGATCTCAACTGTTACTAAACATCAGAGAACTGGGGGCAGGAGGGGAGGAGTTACAAATGGTCTGGTGAAAGAAGAAAAAAAGCTAGCGTTTACTTTTTCATTTGACACTGGAAATCTAATTAGAGAACAAAATTCCATAAAGCCAGGCTTTATGCTTACTCTTCAGTTTGTTGCTTCTTTTTGAGATGGTTGAGTTAGTAAAGTAATTCTTCCCTCATCTGCTTCTGTGCAAGAATTGGCAACAATTAAGAAGAATATTTGAAGGGAGTTATTCTTTCTCATAGGCCTGTGCTGTGTTCAGGAATAAGGGACTCAAAATCTGAAGCTCCAGAGCAGCTTGCATTTTCTCTTTGTCTTCAGTGACATTGAGAGGAGTATGCTATCATGGATACTGGTGAGAAAGTGATTGCATTGTCAGCTTTGTTCTCTTGCTGCTGCTGTTACTTTCAGGAATTTTGAATTTAACATAAAGCCTTAATTGTCGTGAACACTCCCAGCATTTACTCTGTTGTGCACAGAACCTGTCAGCAGGTTTCCACAGTGTGGGAGCGGTGCTGATTCCATGAGGTGTGGCTGCAAACACCTACTCACCATTTTATTTTTACCTGGACAAGAAGCATCTCCAGTTTTGTTTTCCAGGATGTGTGCTGATGAATTAAGGAGAGGAGATGATTCTGCATTGATGGAGTCTAATAAAATAGATTCCAGTTACAATGGCTGCAGTCAGGATGTGGTACTTGAGGAAGTGGGTGGTAACTGCTCTCCAAAGTCGTGAAACCTGGGCCAACCTCGAGTCAGTTCTGGGTCCATATACTGCTCTGAAGTTCTATAACCTTGAAAATAATCATTAGTATTATTCAGCTTTTTCATATAGGTTACCAGTGCTAAAGCATTACTAACTTTGTTATAGGAAATTCAGGGTTAAATGTACAAATGAGTGAATGTTGTGCTGTAATTTAAGGTGGGATAAATTGAAACAAAAATCCTTGAACCAATTTCTAGTAGCTGATTAATGCCAAAAGGGCAAGATGTTACTCTTTTTCCCTGTTCCTGCTCAAATGTGATGTGCTGCCCTCTACATCAGGTTGGCTCTTGTGCCACACCCCCCTGCAGTGTCAAGTCAGAAGTCTGCTCACTGATAAACAGAAAGCTCTCTGTTTTGGGGGTTTTGTGTGTGCTAGGGGTTGGTGGTGTTTGTGTCCTATGTCATCATTGTCATCTCCCTTTCCTCCCCTTCCCTGCCCTTGGTTTAGTTTTCTATCAGGTTTATGAGTTGATTTGGCTTTCTGAAGCAGTCAAGCACACCCCAGAAATAACCTCAAAATAGGCTGCAGGAGCTCAGACCCCAGGATGAGGAGAGAGTGGGAGAATGGAGTGTACTGTTGCCCTTTGCCTGATGATAAATTGTTGGACTGGTTCAAGCTGCCTTGTGCAACTTCACCCTACCTAAACCCAAGGCAGTTGAGCAACATTATGAAAAATCTGTGGATTTGGAATAGTTTGTTTATAGGGATTTTTGTTGAATATTTATCTTCCTTTAACAGGGTAGGATCTTGCTAGGGTTTTTTTTGGTGGTTTTTTTTGGCTTATTTGCAGTTTGACTGTAGCTTTCACGTAAGTAACACTGTATCTGCAAATGCTCAAGTGCTTTATAAGCAATTAAATTTTAATAACCCAGTATACAGAATATTATTTATTGTGACCTAATCTTGTCAGTGCTTCCTGTTGCCATAGTATTTTGCTCTTCATAAATCTCATCACCTAATTAATCCCTGTAGTAAGAAACAGGGGTGAGTGGAAGAACAGGATGACAATTATGTTGTTGTAGAAGTGAAACACACAAACTTAAATAATATCTCTGAAAATGTTCAGTTTCCGAGAAATAACCTTTTGAGTAAATTGATATAAATTTTTAAAGATACTAAAATTTTCTTAGGTTATACCTTGTACAGATCTACTGGAGCTTGTTTCCAAAGTTAAGGAAGTTCAGCTTCCTTTCTGAAACTATTGGTATTCAAGAGTAGGTGTTTTATTGCACCCCTGAGAGAAATTCTTCAGAAAGATTGAGGGGGAGAGAAGGAAAAACCTATGACAACCATTTTAGCATTGCCTATTCTTTATCTGGCCACTAAGTAGCTTGGAGCGTGGAATAATTTTGGCAGTACCACATAGTTATTCTTGTTCATTACCCTTTCTTTAAAATGAAAATATCGGGGGGAGGGGGAGAAATATTTAAAGTTTGTGTTTTGTTTCTTAAGTTGATTTTTTTTCTGCTGAAGAGAAAACAAAAAGGATGGTGAAGACTTTAAAGTCTTAATAAACAGTCTCAGTTAGGATTTATCTGGTCAGGAAGGGCTTGTGATATGTTACTAGAAATAACAATTTATTTTTATTTTTATTTATTTATTTTTTCTTCCCCCCAGGTGATTCATGGCAGGGGACGTGGAAGGGTTTAGCTCCTCCATCCATGACACCAGTGTCTCTGCTGGATTCAGAGCACTGTATGAGGAGGGATTGCTTCTTGATGTCACACTTGTCATTGAAGACCACCAATTTCAGGCCCATAAAGCACTGCTTGCCACCCAGAGTGATTACTTCAGGATTATGTTCACAGCTGATATGCGAGAACGAGATCAGGACAAAATCCATTTGAAAGGTCTGACAGCTACAGGCTTCAGTCATGTCCTCCAATTCATGTACTATGGAACTATTGAACTGAGTATGAACACTGTTCATGAAATCCTTCAGGCTGCCATGTATGTCCAGCTTATAGAGGTGGTAAAATTTTGCTGCTCTTTTCTCTTAGCTAAAATCTGCTTAGAAAACTGTGCAGAAATTATGAGACTTCTGGATGATTTTGGTGTAAACATCGAAGGAGTCAGGGAAAAATTGGACTCCTTCCTGCTAGAGAATTTTGTGCCACTCATGTCCAGACCTGACTTCCTTTCATATCTGAGCTTTGAGAAGCTCATGTCTTACTTGGATAATGATCATCTGAGCAGGTTTCCAGAGATAGAGCTGTATGAAGCTGTTCAGGCCTGGCTGCGCCATGATAGAAGACGCTGGAGGCATACGGACACCATCATTCAGAACATCAGGTTTTGTTTGATGACACCATCCAGTGTTTTTGAGAAGGTTGGTGCATTTGAAAAGCAATAGACAGGATTCATCATTTAGCTAGGGCAGCATGCCATTAAATAGGTAAGATTCCCAAACCTATTAGGAGGAATAAAAAGATAGCATTTATTTTTCTAATAAATCAGTAGAAGACAAACATTTGAAAGTATTGTCATCTGATTATTAGACAAGAGTATGTACAGTGACTGGAGAGCAGGTAGGTTTACAATACATGTTTTAAAGTGACTTCATATGGAAAAGACATTTTAAAATAAGATCACTTGTATTGATACAAGTTTTATTTCAGTCATTCTTACTGTTCTCCACAAGTTGCTTCTTGCTTTCCAAAGATTTTAGAGCTGCATACAGTATGTAGGGTGTATGGCATGATAACTGTTATAATCAAAACATAGCAATTGTAGATTTTGCATGTTTTAAGTACAGATATTTTTTATTTACAAGTGAAAACTAGAATCTGCTGTTAAATCTGAAGGGTAGTGTTAGTGTTGTATCTTCAGTGCTTGTGCTGTTGTTAAACAGCAGTTGGAAGTAAGCCCTGATCCTGCAGTTACACATACATTTGGTGCTACACAAGGCACATAATACAATCAAAAGTTATTGATGGTGTGAAATGTAATGATTTATTTTAAATACCAGAGGAATCTTTGTAACAGGCGATCTGAAATTCAACTGACCATTGTATGTATCAAGAGGTTAAAAGAGAACTTTGCTACTGTTCTGTTGAAGAATAGACACACACAAAAAAAGTTGTTTTCAATTCCTGAGACTGAGTATTTGTTGACAGTAGAGAATTACAAAACTTTGTAAGCAGCTCTCTTGCAGGCTAGTAACAGTAAGGGTATTCAGGTTAGGAATTACTTAAACTGTGCTGTTTGTCCTAACAATGTTAATTTTGTGTGATAAGATACAACTTTTAACTTGTGTCGTTTTAACTTCTCAGTGAATTAATAGGATTTAAGACCCTGTGTTTTTGTTGGGCTTCTTACAAATTAATTTCGTGTATATTTTTATTTTGGTATCTAGTAAATATACAGATAAGGTTGTATTGTTCTTGGTGGTTTAAGGGCTACTGGATCATTTTAGTTGTAAGGCTTACACTTATTTGTATTTTAAATTGTAAAAGCTACTAATTACTTCAGAAACAACTGAGGTTTTATATTTTGGGGGTTTTTTGTGTGTTAATTGAGTAGCGGAAATAATAATACATAAAATATATTTATGATTCTATATAGGCAAATAATAAATACCTAAACATGTTTTAGAACAGTAATGTAATGTTAATACTGGTTTAAGAGATTTGCAACTAGGAAGAGCTGAACTCTGCAAGATGCTGTGTAGTGTCTTGTTTTTAAAAATGCTTTTACTTTATTATTACAACATTTAAGAAAAATGATAGGATTCATAAAGTATCCTTAAGGTCAGTCTAACAGGGTAAGACTTGCGTGAAAGAGTCAGCTTCAGTTCTTTGTGGTTTTGGGATCCAAGTTCAAGCATCAAGCTGTCTTCAGTTAAATTTCATAAGCACAAGTGAAAAGTACATGTTGGTCTTCAGTGTTACATTTAGGTGTAACTTCTGGAGTTGGCTTTGGTTATCGGTGTTATAAATCCTGCATAGAGTGCTTCTCATGTTTTATACTGACAGCTACCAAATGGCCAGATAGATACAACTTAAGGAGAGAAGTCGTTTTCAGCATCCTAGTTTATGTACTCACATGTAAAAGCTTTATCTGTGGATACCCTTCCCACTGATTTTATGTGGGAGCAGAGAGAAGCCAGTGTAGATTCTGGAGTGGGACAACTGAGCAGAGGGAAGCACAGCTAAGTATGTATGTCATTTGTTGCTGCAGCTAGGAATGCATTTGTGTTTTGCCCTGGCTAGAGAGCATTGAGTAATCCAGCAAGACAAGTGGCAAAGGACAACTGCAGTTGGAGCCAACATCAAAATACAAACCACGCTTTTCTTTCTTTTTTTTAACTGTTCTGGAAGTTACCTGAGGAGAACTCTTTGCTCGGTATAGAAGGGGGAGAATACTGGTAAAACTGCCGCCACCATTGTTTTGTTTTGTTTTGTTTTTTTGAGATCCACAAACAGAATTTACCCTTTTCCTGAAGTCAGCACATACTAAATGCCTGCGTGAAGGTATCAAATACAATCTGAGGTTGATTCTTAATGATTCAGCAAACTCTGTACTTGCTATACACTGGTTGGCTTGTCATATGTATGGTTATGTAATCTTTCTAATATGCATTACTAACATGCCTGTCAGTGTAGTATATAAATAACTTATATGTAACTTTCAAGTCACAGTAAGGATACTTTTGGCCTCTTAAGCCACTCTTTCTTACATCCTTTTTCTGAAGAGATTTACAATCTGAGTGGAATGACTTGTCCTTTTAAAAATGAAATGAGTGAGTGACTCTATACCTGATGTGCATTTGAAGTGCACAAGTGAAGGTGCAGCCTGTTTGCTTACTCTAAACTGTCCTGGAAAAACTGCTTTTGACGTATGAATAGATAATCCTTTTGTTCCTCAGCCCTTGAAATAGGTGTAGATGTATGCAGGAAAATGTAAATATTAATGAAGTAAGGATATGGGGAATAGTTAGAAAATAAAGAGTATGGGGAGAAGCACAAGTTCCGCTATCCACTTTATTTGAACACATATTATTTTCCACTTTATTTGAAACATATCCATGGCTCTGTAAGTCTTGAGGAAGGTTGGAGATAGGAGGCATTTTTCCTAGATCATTGAGTTCATCTCTCTTTTGCTGGAGGCAGCCATGTCATGAAAAGACATGTAGATGTGGCACTTAGGGGCATGGTTTAGTGGTGGACTTGGCAGTGTTGGATTAACAGTTAGACTGGATGATACACTTGGCAATTTATTAACATTTTGGTAACATTTGTTTACAGGCTTATAATTGTACTTAGAATATAGTCAGAGATAAGTAGGTGTGAAAACAATAAAGGTCCTACTTAGTAGGATTGATGGATCTTTTGGTTCAGCTCAATCTCTAGTAAAATACAATTTTTTTTCGAGTAAAAGGAAGAGCATGCTTTCTGGAAGCCTGATACAGATGCCGTCTTTATTCATTGAAAAGGTGTAGCATAGCTTCCGTATTCCTAGTAGTTGAGTTTGAGTTGCGTCACTTACACATTCAGAATGGCAGTTGTAGAAAACTTACGTAAGCACAAATTTAAAACCTTTGAAATAGTTTTCTGCTTACGTGGCTAGTAATGACAGAGCCACATATTGAGCCATTCGTATTTTTGGGGGGTTTTTTGGGTTTTTTTACCAGTTCTACAGAAGGAACCAAACTAGTATCTACCCCATATAATAACATGTTAAGATTTAGTTCCCAGGTATATAGATAATAGACATTTAGTTTGGGCATTTCAAAGGTAGCCTTTTATTATGGTTTTGAAAGCTTTTTCTGAAAAGCCCAACTAACAAAAATACAAATAGGGCAATAGCTGTATAGAGTTGTATTAAAAAAAAAAAAAAAGTGCCGAATACTGAAGTCAAATTTGTGTTACAGAACATTTGCCTTGCATTTTGTTGTTCTTCCTGCAGCTTATAAATTTACTTAATTGGTTTATTTTTTGGGGTGATGAACATAACAAGGGCTACATCTACTTTTTTGTAGGGATCACTTTTCAAATTAGAAACTAATGGCTTACATTTTTGGCTTTTTCATAAAATATAAATGGAAAATTCTGAAACTTGCATAGCTGCTCAACTAGAAAAGCATGCATTGCAATACAGCAGAAAACTAGGTAATGATTAATAGCAGCATTAATTTGGACAGCTATCAGTTTTTACGAAGTGTTTCACTGGTTCAAAATGTGCTCTAGCTCCAGTTTACTATGGCTAGAGGGATGGTGGTGATTTTGGTGAAGTTTTGGTGGGTTCGGTATTGACTACCAGGGGGTGAGTAGAGACAGAGGTGAGTAGTGGATGGTTTTAATTGTTTTCTTCTTTTTTTTTATGGAATGACACATTTGATTTTATGCTGTTTCCTGCCTGTGTAGCTAAAAGTCCAACTGAACCATTGTAACTGGTAGGTAATGCAATAAGGTAGTTCTCATTAGAGTTCTTCGGGGAGCTCTTGCATTAGAGCTACATCCCAGCAGAACCTCTGTAAGAAGGTTTTGTCCAGAAAACTGAAGAGAAAGAATTGGAAAGAATGTAAAAAAATCACATGAGCAAATCTTTAGCGTTTGGATTATATTCCTTTTTGCTGTAAGATTGGGGTTGGTAAGGAAATCCAACTTAAATTTTCTTTCATACTCTTCAGCAAGATAACAGAATAGGGTTTTTTTTAAACTTTGAAAATGCATTTATATTTTTTATATAAATAAAAATAAAATTGACGATGTACTCTTAAGAATGCCCATTTGTTTTACCTCAAGGTTTGTCACAGTTAGCGTACCTCTCCATCTGTTTTGGATGCTTTGCAGAAACCTGCGAGCGTTCTCTCTAATTGAGTATGTTGGTAATTAGGGGTGTTTTCCTTCTAGAGCTTTTGCCTTCTCTATTTGAGCTTAGCAGGAAAATTAGTCTGTTGATAAGCACTTAGTTGTTGATCAACTGCTCCTTGCCACTTTTGGATGATGGCAGAAGCCTAATTTTGAATGTTGAAGGAGTTCCTTAAGTCTATTTTGGGTGTCAGACAGCAGTTCCCACAAGAGGCTTGCTATAGGCCATGTTCTTTAATCTGCTAAAACTAAAATGTATGCACAATTCACAGTTGTGTTTTAATACTTAAACACCTAAATTTTAATGCTTCTCTTTTTTGATTGTACTCACATGTAATTAAAAGCATTGTAAAATTATTCAGAAGTGTAGGTGGAAGGTTTTCCTTACTAAGGGCTGAATAGGACTTTAAAATAATTCTGATTTCACACAGACAGCATCTGAATATGTAAGTGGGCAAACTGACCTACATTTGCTTTGTCTTCATTTGCATCAAGCAGGCGTGAGCAGTCTGTACTTTCATACAGGCATATCCTAACAGTCATCTTAGACCATCGTTTGAGCCTTCGGAGAGGCACTGCTTCAGTATGGCAGACCTTGTGCTGGGGAAAGCTGAAGTTTGGAAATAGTGGTATTTTTGCTCAGTAGAGAAGTCGAGGAACCCTAGTACTACCTTTCCTTACCAGAATTTAGGTAGTGTATCACTCTATTTTGTGATTTTTTTTGTTATTGGGATATTTTTCTTTTTTTTTTTTTTTTCCCCACTGAATATTGTAAGAATTGCTAGTGTTTATTTATTTTCATGTTCATCTCTTCACGATTATGGTTGTAGGTAGCTTCCCCAAGAACATCAGTCTGAAAGAGTTGTTTATAACTGGTAGTAGTATTTGCTTCTTGGTATCTTTCTCATTTAAGGTGAGATTGAGGCTTTGCTTTCATTTCAGTGCTCTGTCAAGAGTAGTAGTACTAAAGTACTAATAAATTGATTCCCTGGTCTTGAGATTCTCTGTCTGGAATTAGGGATAGTCCTTGTTTGCTTTTGCATGCTCTCATGGGGTGAGATGTAGGCTATGGGAAGAATTAGAGTGGTGAGGTTATATAAGGCTTAATTTTAATTCCAGTTTCTGGCTGGCATTTCAATTTCTAGATCTAAAGACAGTTGTAAATGTTGAGGGGGGAAGAAAATACATTTTCCATCTCTGCCAGGCTTTGCTGGCATGCTTCACGTTGTAAGCATGTTGATCCTGTTGTCTTCCATAATCATCCAAGAAAATTTGAAATGCATATAGGTGGAACAAAAATTCCTTAATTTTTTGCTGTAATTCCAAAAATGATAGCTCCAGTTTGGGAGTGCTGGTTTAGAATTTGAAAATTACTTTTAAGGGTAAGGTAACCCACCGACGAGTCTTTGTTCTTTTCATTTCCTGTGTCATTTTTTTACCCTTTAAAGCTTTCTGTATTTCACCATTTTTCTGTGCTGTGGTTTTCCCTGCTACGTCTCCTCCCCCAGCATGTTTCCTGAAAGTTATCTTTTCAGTCAGGCAAGCTGTATGGTTTATTCGAACAAATGCCATATGAGCAGGTCTCCTGTATTGTTATGATATATTCTTTGTATGTAATAAGGAAATAGATCTGTTATTCCCCACGAAAGTTGGGCTTACTGTGGGTGTTTTATAAGCATTATACCTATGTAAGCTTTTTTGCTCCATAATCACCCCCATACATACAGTAGAAAGAAGCTGGATATTGCCCTGAGAATAATATTTGCAGTCTGCATGTGACCATCTTCTTTTTCCAAGCAAAGATAAGTTCAACTTGTCAAAATAAAGTGTGAGAAAGAAAAAGTGTAAATAAAACCATCAAATTTTTCTAACTCTTGAGCTATACAGTGCTTCACAACAGTAGGTTAGTATGCAGGAGTTTTGAAAATCTGGTGTATAAAACGGTCTCAGTCTGCAAATCGTGTCCAGTAATAATGATTCAAAAAGTTTAAAAAATAATGTGTATCTTACAGAATGTCTGCATTACTGTACAAGGAAGAGAAAGGATTAACACAAAGTTAACATTTTAGTACTATGTATTTATGGAATAAGCGACTACTGCTTTCACAAGGTGTAAAAGAACATTTATTTCTGAATTGCTTTGCAGATACATGAAAACTTGTACCACCATCTTAGGTAAGTGGTGGTACAGACTTTTGTCACTTGGGACAGGGAATAGGAGGAGGTGGGGGAACAGATACTGAATAATAGTATCTGCTGGTGTTACCTGGTGGTCACTTTGAGATTTCAGAGTGGCCGTACATATTTTCAGAACATTGCTTCTCTTTTTGGAACTAGTAAGAACTAAAGGCTTTGGAGTGTGTGAAAGCAGCCCAGTTTTACGTGAAAGAAATGGGGAATTAGGATCAAATCTGATAGAGGATTTGTGGATTTGGCTGTACCTAGTGGGGTTTTATTTGTTTTAGACGTGTAATTCAGAATGTTGTGTTAGACCAGACTGTACAGGAAGAGTGAAACCTCTTTGAAGAGGAGCACATGGTGGCCTGAGGGCTGTCTGGAGCTAGATTTGTTAAAATGTTCAAGACAGGGATGTGTTTTGGAATTGTCTCAGGACCAGTTTTGGGAGCTTAAATTGACTTAGATAATAGGAAGGGTCCTGTAAAGGTAAATTCTTAGAATCTTCCACCGGCTTCCATCTCCAGTGAAGCTGTGCAGGGGTAGCTCTTTTCAGACTGGGATGGCGCTTCGCTGCTGTCTGATAATTCAAAGGTGGTAACTCTCACCTGGCAAGAGGAAGTTCAAACCTACGTCCACCAATTTACCAAATAAATGCACAAGCAAAGGGTTATAGGTTGAGATGTTTTCCTCTTGTGTTAAAGGCATTTGTTAATGTGGAGGCTCATAGAGGGGAACTATAATGTAACCATCATGACGAGTGGTTAGTGCAGTTGTGTTCTGAAGGAGGGGGTTTGGTTGCCTTCCCTTCCAACCCTGATTAAATAGCCCTGTGAGCAGAGCCTACCATTCAGGAATACCTGCTTAGGCTTGGTTGCGAGAATTCAGCAAAGACTTGACAAGGATAGACCCTGGTAAACACAGAATGGCTGTGTAGAATGTTTTTCAACATGAGAAGAATAGTGCGTTCTTAATTTAGGTGCTTTGTGGATTAAGCAGAAGATGAACTGAGGCTTTTTGGGAGAGAAGGAATAATGATTTTTAGGCTTGGAGATTTCAGTTGTGCCTAATTCCATCTTAAATTCTGTGTGTGAGTATTCTGTTGAAAATGTTAATTACTGCTGTTAATCACTAAATTGCCTTCTGGATTTTGGATAACAGTATATTAGCTTAAGCCTTCATGCACAAATGCAATTGCTGTCAAGATAGCCTGAATGAAACTAAGTGAAATAATCTTCTAATGGCACATAGTCATTTAGGTTTTCTGGATTGTTTCTCTTGGTCAGAATTTTAATATCTTTTAAATGTATTCATAGGTAAAAACATCAGAGTTTTATCGATACTCCCGGCAGCTGCGACATGAGGTTGACCAAGCCATGAATTACTTTCATAGCGTTCACCAACAGCCTTTGATGGAAATGAAATCGAACAAAATTCGTTCTGCCAAACCCCAGACTGCAGTATTTAGAGGAATGATAGGACACAGTATGGTAAACAGTAAAATTCTTCTGTTGCACAAACCAAGGGTCTGGTGGGAACTAGAGGGTCCTCAAGTACCTTTACGACCAGACTGCCTTGCCATTGTGAATAACTTCGTGTTCCTATTAGGTGGGGAAGAACTGGGGCCAGATGGTGAGTTTCATGCTTCGTCCAAAGTGTTTAGATATGACCCAAGACAGAACACTTGGTTACGAATGGCAGACATGTCCGTTCCACGTTCTGAGTTTGCTGTTGGAGTTATTGGGAGGTATGTTTATGCAGTGGCTGGGAGAACCAGGGATGAAACCTTTTACTCAACAGAACGGTATGATATTACTGAAGATAAATGGGAATTTGTGGATCCCTATCCAGTCAATAAATATGGACATGAAGGGACTGTTCTTGGTAACAAGTTGTATATCACTGGTGGAATTACATCATCTTCAACTTCTAAGCAAGTGTGTGTGTTTGATCCCAGTAAAGAAGGGACAGTAGAACAACGGACAAGGAGAACTCAAGTGGTCACTAACTGTTGGGAGAACAAATGCAAAATGAATTACGCAAGATGCTTTCACAAAATGATTTCTTATAATGGTAAGCTTTATGTCTTTGGTGGTGTCTGTGTGATCCTAAGGGCCTCCTTTGAATCTCAAGGATGTCCTTCCACAGAGGTCTATGACCCAGATACTGATCAATGGACTATACTGGCTTCTATGCCAATCGGTAGGAGTGGTCATGGTGTAGCTGTACTGGACAAACAAATAATGGTTCTTGGAGGCCTTTGTTACAATGGTCATTACAGTGATTCAATTCTCACCTTTGATCCAGAGGAAAACAAATGGAAAGAAGATGAATATCCGAGGATGCCGTGCAAGCTGGATGGCTTGCAAGTCTGCAGCTTGCACTTTCCTGAATATGTGTTGGAGCATGTTAGACGTTGCAGCTAAAAGAGAAGGAACAACCCAGTGAAATACAAAAAGCTGTACCTAATTTGTCAAAAAATACAAACCAGTTGAATTCCGTCAGAGACATTATCTTGTGTATAAGAACAACTGCTAAATGCTTAAGAGCATTTAGGGTGTACAGGGAGTTTACTTACCAAGTTTATTAGGAAAGCTGGTAGTTGGTCTGATATTGTAAAAGCTTTGGGTTTTTAACAAACATAATTGTAAGTAGGGGAAAGAAAAATATATTTTTGAGTGTGCTTTTCTTTTTTTGTAACATGTCCATAAGACTTTCTTCTTATTTTTTTTTTAATGAACATTACACCATTATGCTTCTGAAACCAGTTGAGTTTAACAAAGTATTTGTGGAAGAAAGAGGAGAAAGGCTTTATTTTAATTTTATTGAGCGTCAAAGTGGAACTCATTATCTGTACGAGGGTACAACCAAGTATAAAATAGCAAAACTAAACCATTTTTGTATTCTTGTGTTGTCTTCTGGCTGCTTTTCCCATGAATTGCAAAGTATTCTCAAATCTGTTAGGTGTTTTTGTTTTCCCTTATATATGTTGAAGAATAATCTTAAATTCTTTGCATGACCTTTTTCCTGGTTTTGTATAGAAGTATCAATTAGGTCTGCCAAAATTCAAATTACACATTTTCTACTAAATTGAAAACAAAACATTTTTATATTCATACCAGTATTTCTATGCTGCCTTCTATTGTCTGCATTACGTTTGTTGGTGAGTAAAGAATATATACACACATATGCATACACTGTAAAAAGATATATAAATACATCTTTTTATGTGCAGTTACAATATTATATTTTAACTAGTGCACAGATTCAGCCATATTGTTGAATTTGAGGTATAGTGCTATCCTTTAATGAGCTAAATAATTCAAAGTTCTTAAGTAACCAGAGGCCTCATTTGGTTTCGGAGTTATCTTGTCTTTAATATATACTGATTGATTCAGTAACTTTAAACTCTTTATATCAATGCTCATAATGAACTGTCAATGATTTGCTATTTTATAAAATATTTTTAAAGAAGAAAACACATTTTACCTGAGTTTCTTTTATGTTTGAATGTGCTGCCCAGTTTTCTTTGTTTATGAAAATGGAAACTGTCAATAAGCAAATGCTCAGCACTGCTTTGACCCACAGTTGTTTTCAGAACTGGATATGCTACAGTTTATTCTCAGTTCTTTGCTTGTAGTCATACTTCAATAGGAATACTTTGTACTCCTATTGAAGTGGTATGATCCTTTTTTTGTTTAATAACATTATTACTATAATTATTAACAGCTATGAACTACTGAGTTTTGAAAATGTGGAGTTAGGTGGTTGGGTGGTTAGTACCATTTGTGTTTTCTTTTACAAAAAAAAACTCCACCTACATGGCTATAGCTACTGACCTCAGAGTGCCTGAATCAAGATGTGTGGTCGATCCAGGAGGGCTTTGAATAACTCCTTTGTTAGTGTCAACTTGCATATATTACTGACAGTAGATTGGTAAGAATTACCTGTAATTACCTTCTGTTTATTTTAAACAATGTGAAATTAGCCACTTCTAGAATCTAAAGGAAAGATTTGAAGAAGTTCAACTAACTTGAGCACTTAGTTCAGACACGTAGGAACAAAATGATGCTGAAACACGCACCTATGTATGTTGTAAAATCTTACGCCACTGTGTTTCACGTGAAGCAGTAGACTTTATATGCAGTGATGAAGACCACTTTATTCAGCATCTTGCAGTCAGAAATCACTGTAGAAAAGGAATGTACAGTACTCAGGGAGTTCAAAAAAATGCACTTACAAAGGGACCAAAATCACCCTATATTTCTTATGTTAAAAATAACACTTACCTGCCTAAAATAAGTTTGAAATAATCAATAGACATTAAAACAACATGTAAAATTCTTCATTCTTATACTTTGATGTTTTTGTAGGAATTATATTCTGGGTCGAGATGTGAGGATTTGGAGCTATATGGCAAGTCGACAGATACTTTTTTATTTTTTATTTTTTTATTTTTTAGAAATGATTTATTGATACAGTATTTTCTTTCAGTATGTTTTAAGAGAAAAAGAGAATGTATGCCATCATAATTGCATCAGAAGTGACTGGACCAAATACTGATACTTTGATTCAGACTAGTTTGCGGTTAAATTTAAGTCTCTTTTAATCAAATTTCAGTTTGCTGAATTAGAAGTCTAATTCAATTTCTTACTTTAATAGCTTAACTTAAAGTCAGTGCAGCTTACGCAAAAACCTCAGTTTCACTGTGAGACTTTGTGTGTTCATCACCTACATGGGTGCAGAGATGAACTGACTCCAGTAGGTGCTGGCTGTGTGCAAGTAAAAACGTTCTACTGTACATAGTTTATGGAATATTGGGACACAAGGAAAAAAAAACAAGGGTTTAAAATTGTTTTTATTCTGTCGCCAGCTTATTTTCTCAGTAAGTTTTCTGAGACAGCAAAAGCTAATCCTGCCTGTGTAGGCTTTCATGGACATGTTATGTATAGTACAGAGTACTTCACTTTTATCTAGGGCCAGTCTGGGGAGCGGACATGGTTCTGGATATCTGATCTTCCATGATTCAGGTGTAGTAGAAAGAGATGGCCAAGGCTTTATTAAAAATAATGGTAAGGATGGGGGTGTATTAAGTTACGGTTTTGAGTCTGTATTTAAGCACCTTCTGAACTTCTGTGTGCTAAGCAACTGGCAATGAAGTCATTGGTGAGTATTGACACTTGAAACATGAAAAAAACAGATAATTTTGAGGTGCTATGGTTTTAAGTTTGTATTTATCTTCAGGTGTCCAGTTCTGAAATTGTTCAGAATTGTAATAGTAATTATTCTGTGAAATTCTAACTTGAACTCTTGATTTCAGCTTCCCTGAAGTTGTGTCGCCATTGAGAAGCTGGCTGTAACCTTTCCAGCATTAGGAATGCCTGGAATTTTCTTTGGTTTAGAATTTGGGGGGGTATGAGAGAATGTTTCAATTTACATTTCTACCATGCTTTTATTGTTTCAAACATGAAATAGAAAATTAGCTTACATGCTCTTTTCGATGGCAGTGGAACTTTTGAGGCAGTTATTTCTGTTACTTTATATATCAGAGGGATTTTTTTTTTAATGTAAAGTTTCTGTTTGTGTTCACTTACAGTATTTAGCTCCAGATCATTTAGTGTTTAAATAAAAACAAAACTAAGCTGGCTAATAAGAATTGCCTATTACTATCAGATTTTGAGCATTGTGATCAGATTACAGTGGATTTTAAAAACATTTAAATGCCTCTCCTTTGTCAAGGAAAAGGTAAGTTACAATCTTTGATTATTAAGTTGGGGAGGCTTCTTCTATTCCAGTCATAATGGGATACCAGCAAATCTAATCTCACCTACATATTTAATATTTAACTCATGACAGCAAGTGTTGTTGCCTTTTCTTAAAAAGGTGGACATACTGAGTTACACTCCTAAGTTTGGGGAGTGTGTGTGTTATTTTGTTTTGGTTTTCATATTTACAGCAAAAATGTGTCAGCTTCCAATTTTAATTTAGTAGCTCCAGAGGATACTTTATTTTCAGATGAGCAAGAATGGGCAAAAAGCATAGTGCTCCTATAAAGGGGTTGGACACTGCCAGTTCCCATTCAGCATTCTGCTCTATCTGCTCTCGGGGGCCAGATAATTTTGTTCAGAATTCAAAAATAGCTCATTTTTCCTCACAAAGTGTTGGTACTAGTGGGAGGTACTAGGTGGCAAAAAAAACCCTTCTGAATTTTTTTTTCCATTGATTCAGCTGGAAGAAGGCAGTACTTGGATTTTACAAAGACTGCTATTTCAGAAAGCACTGCTAGGAAGGGGGGCGAGTGGTAGCATGTGATATTCTGCTTTAGGATGTTACTTACTGTGGAAAAGCATGGATGCCCTACTTCCTGCAGTATGATAGCAGTCCTGTTACAACTAGCTGTAAGGGTTTGTGGCTGTAATATTTCTCTGGTTTCTGAGATTTGCAGCCATTTTTTCTTGAGGATCTTCCTGCCTTACTAACCCAAGTGATGTGTTTTTTTGTGCTCGTAATATGGTAACTGCTTGCATCGGGAACGAAGCTTCACTTGATGCTCAGGAAGCAAAGGATAAAATTCAGCAGGTACTAATTCAAATCAGTTAAAAAAGAAAAACATTGCTTAACTCATTATGTCCATTCTTCAACAAAATCATTATGGGGAGATGCTAACAGCTTTTTAAAAATGAACTTCAAGCTGTGTCAGCATTTATATAACAAAGTCTTTTTAGAAATAGGCACATTTGTGGAGGTATTTTGCAGTTTAAATCTCTTTTTTCCTTTGAAAAAATAAAAGAGTGAATCGGGACCCTGATTCTTTTAACACTTGAAATGCATACTTCACATATGTGAACAGTCCAATACAAAGAGAACAGAAAATTGTAAGGTACTTACAAGAAAACTTAAAAGCGCAAACGTTATTAAACCTGTGCTTAAGTGTTTATGGGGTTGGGGGCATCCAAGAAAACATTCGTCCTGCTCTTCTTCTATTAATAAATATATTAGCTGATGACGTTACTTGACTAAGCATGGTCCATCATATGTGGCAGGACTCGCTGAAGGAGAATGGGAAAGAATATAACTGGAAAACGTGTGATCTATTTAAAACAAAGCTTTCCAGTGTCCTGTAGCTAACATTTTCAGATTTAATGTTTGTAAACCAATCTGAGGCTGCTTAAAATGAATACTAATAACTACTTTCACATCTGTATCTGTATTCTTCTTTTGAAAGTTGGTGAGTAACTTTAAAATTCCAGTTTGTGTGGGTAAACTTCATAAAAGGTAGTTGTATGTGGCAGGTGGCAGAAAAACTGACCTGTTTTGAGCACGGCTTTCCTGGATTTCCCTCTGTTGTTATTTTTTTTTTTTTTTTTTTTTCACTTCCCAAATAGCAAATAATGTTTATATAGTCTTTTAAAAATAACTTTCAAAA